CCCCCCCCCCCCCCGGCACTGCACCATTGCACCAATCCCCCGCGAGCGATGACGTGCATTTGCTGGCTCGGGTGGACCGCTTTGTGTTGTGCTGTTTGGTGTTGTCACTACGGCGTCGGGTTCAAAGCTCACCTAAATAACGGGGGGAGCGTATGCCGCAGGGGGTCGGGGGGACGAGCGAGTTCTCATCGGTTGTAGTGACCGCAGTAGCGTGAAACCCGGGTTGAATGAAAAAAATATCCTACCGCTTCTTGGACTCCAAAAACTGGTGACGTTGCACATTCACCTTGCGATCGCCACGCAATCACCATTCGTGGCATCTTCTTTGTTAAGCCGTGTCCTGGTTGCGCAAGGCATGCTGCGTTCGTTCTCAGAAAAAGGCTGCAGAAAGAAATTCCGATTCGATGAAAGAATAGAGTGAATCTGATTTCCTACCTTTAGCGATTCTAACGTGTTCGTCTGTTCGTCGCACTCAGAACGCACCACCACTCATCGACCTCGGAGTTGATAACTCCAGCTTCCAAGACGGACCATGGCCATGAGAAGAGTTACTCGTTAAGCAACCATTACCACCACGCACCACGTGGAATAGTAGGTGTTGGGGCACCCAACCAAGGAAACAAGAAACGACGATCAGACCAAATACAAGAGACGGTTGAGTCGTGACGTCTTCTTCAGTCATGTGGCGCAGACGTACCGCCGGTCGACGGCGCAGGCGGTGTCTCCTGTCGGTAGTTCTTGCTACCTCCGCTGGCAGGCATGTGCAATGGGATGGTCTAAATACATCGCGAGGGTTCGCGGCTGATGGCACGAAGACCAATTCGGCGCATTCTTTGTTATTATGAATGATTTGATACGCAGAATCGCAACATGGGTGGCGGAAAATTGAACCTGCACTCGTGTTGTTGAGTAAGCTTGACGTAGCGCGCAGATCCCGACGGAACGTTGCAGATTTCTTGTCTGAGTACTTGAAGAGAGATCAAAACACCAAAGTCTGCTATGCGAGGAGAACGATTGAGGGCTGCATGACGAGCCGCACACCGATGAGGATTTGCACCGGTGTAGTGTGAGAACGTGACGTTTTCCTTTCGACGCGTAGCGGGGGACAAGGTGGTTGTGATGTATCGCTTCGCGAGATTGGGGTTGTTGGCCACGTGCAATCGTCAGCGGTCAAGGTTGCGTCCCCGTCAGCCAAACAAGAGGGGTGCCGTGGCGTGGCAACGTTTTCGCCATCACCATCGGAGAACCTCCGTGTTGGGCCTGTCGCATAAGCATGGCAGACTGCTCTGTACGGTTTCGATCAGCCTCGCTGTCCACGCCGTACGCTCAACTGTAAACATTCGGTGCGGGCAGCCACCGACGCGGTTGAGTGCTTCACATGGCAGTCGCCTCCTGATCGTGTCATTATTCCCTCCCAATGCTCTACATACCTCGGCCGGAAGGACTCATAGCACATCACCGAACACGGCCTGTATAAACCAAAACCGGTCGTGATTCGAGTCCGACCCCCTCCCAACCCAAAAGGCGTTCGCAGGAGGCATTCGCAAGAGGTGTTCGCCGACACCAAAACATCGACATCCTCCTCGCGCGAACCCGGAGGAAAACAAAACATTCTAAACCGCACCACCTCCTTCAACGCCCCCCTCCACGAAAAAATGCCACCGGCGCCTGCGACCGCCACCTCGCACATGTGCATACCTGAGGTGACCACAAGCAGCCCACACGACCCGCCCTGCTCCAGACACGAGCCGCTTGAGCGTGGAGTGGGTCTCACAACGGGCAAGACGTCACCGCGGCAGAATTGGCTCCAGACGGCGTGCTTCGAATGCCTTGCGGCGCTTCTGCACGGTGACCTATCCTGGATCAATAGCGCGATGTGCTAGACCATCTCACATACACGCACAGCCAACCATAGGCACATCACGCGAGACGAAGACTAGCTGAGGCAAGCTACTCAACACACCAACACGCCATATTTTTCGAGACGAATCGAGTTTTCGCCTTGGCCAATGATCACGCCTTCCTCCATAGTGATGGCCTTGATTATCCGCCCAAGCCCCTTCCTTTCTTCCTTCCTTTCTGCTGCCGAGGCTGAACACCGATGAGGTGTTTGCTCGTGCCGCAGGCTTTACCTACACGCAGGGACACAGCGGCGAACCTTGTAAGATAAAACATCATACCTCCAGCGGAAAAGAGCACCACTGCAGTTACAACAGCAGCAGCAAAGAATGGGGCGTCGTCAATGTCGTAGCCAACACCGAAGACCTCGAGCCATGCCCTGCTCTGCCCCGTCTGCCCTGCTCTGTACAACCCCAACGTCTCGCTCTCCATTGGCGTTCTGCAATAGCTTCATGGGGAGCAGCATCGCACGTGCACCAGAGCACAGCCCGCTTGCTGCATCGCAACTCACAGAGGGCTACATGCGCATGGACAAATGACAACCTTACCAGCTTAAAGGAAGAACCCCACGGTCGTCTCGTCCGTTCGAACAACAGCAGCCCGAAAGCGGACGACGGAAATATATACATTTCTCGCATTCACTGCTGAGACTGCAGCACATCTCCTTCGACCGTGGTTCCGCGACTGTAGGCACATCCAAACAAAAAAAAACATATGCACAAGCAGAAGCGTAAGCAAAACCAGGTACCTCTTGACCTTGTTCCATCCATCCGAGTCCATCGCCATCCCCCCGCCCCCGCGCCCCCTCCCCGCGCTGGCACCGCCTCCGGACTTCCCGCCTTTGCCACCCCCCGCCGCTTTCTTCGCGGCCATGCGCTGGCCTTGCTTTCTGCTCGCCGAGGTGCGCGTGATGAAAATTCGGGGTTGGACGAGCGAAAAGAGGTGGGGAAAGATTCGTCTATGACTTCGTGAAGGTTTATTTTTGTGAGGCAGGGGAAGATGAAGAGGGGATCATTCGCGTATGCTACACAAGATAACACATCGACGTAAGATTGCACCCCCCCACACATACGCGGTCGTAATGACAGTTACCGGTAAAAGATGAGCGGGTCGATTCGTGGGAAACGAGTTGGCACGTTTTCGGAAAACCGAACGCCAAAGGGCGCCGTCGTCTTGGTCAAGAGTTGTCAAGGCTACCCCAAGGGGTTACAAAGCAATTTTTCACCGAGTCGGCGGAGTCAGGTCTGCCCCTTCGCGACGTTTGCAACCAGGCATGCCGTGAAAGGGCTACTAGTCGCACATTCCCGAGAGAGCGGTTCCAAAGCTCCACTGCTCCGCAGCCAATAGCAAAAGAATGCCTACCGAGAAGTGTTCTTGGTGGGAATATTTCCAACGCAACCCGTTTTCGACAACAACGGCCCCTTGGACGCGTGGAGATACACATCGAGCTGTGAAACTCAGTCTAGCGGGCATGCGCTCACTCGCCCTACCGAGGTAGGCTACATAGAAGACAAAGAGCAATGTTCCCGAACGGGCATTCCAGCGCCTGGGTGTGACATCTGTCCACACGCGGCTTAAGGGCGCAACACTCACGTCCCTAGTAACACACACGATAACTTCGGCCACCAGAACCAACCCTTGCTTGCGCACAAAAACCATTCACTCCACAGAGGCCACAAACGGTGCACATTTCACGACACGAACGAAGTACACTTCATTTCACACACACGAAAAGAGAAAATCCAAACATGGGTCAGAGGCGCGATCACTCTCCCTCTTGCTGTGGAGGCTATAATGAGGACAAACGACATTGTTTTTCTGACGGAAATTCCAGCTCCTGCGTAAAACCTGAGCACCCAATGCTCAAGGTCACCACCTTCATTTAATCCACAGCGCCAAAGTTTCGCGCTTGGATGGTTCACTTCGCAATTCGGCGCAGCAGGTATGCTTTATTCCACAGATCGCCCTCCTTTCATTCCGCACACCAAACAAGTATTAATCCCACAAAGGAACAGTCGGGTCTGAAAGTGCGGTCACTCCCACTCTTCAGGTACGGCAAAAATACCAGAGCAAGGGAAGACAATGGGGTCAAATGACTTCTGGGTGTGACAGCCGGCGTTCGTTCCGCAAGATTAGAAGGTTCATGAGAACTCATTCACCCACATGGGATACTGCCCACTTCACAGGTTGTTGTTTTGTCACATTTGATAAGGGCCGAAAATGAAATATTTCATTCCGCACACGATTGATGACATATTCCAGGCTCAACGTCGCTCTACACAAGTGACACGATCCGTGCTACAGGCGATTGCATTGCACACACGGAAGACCGTACGTGCTACGCATCGAACAATTTTCACTCCCCCCAAAAACACTCTACTCTCATTCAAGAACATCACTTTCATACATATCACCCTCGAGAACTTGTTTAAAGGGCTAGCTTTTTCATTTCAAATAGAGAATCACACACCAATGCCAATGTATTCCACAAACAAGTGCCGGTTCACTCCACACTGAAGACGTTTCAATTCCACGAAGGAATCGCGGCCCTTCACAAGCCCCTGTACATTCCTAAAACTTCACAAATATAAACAAGGGAGACTTGGCGGTAAATTGTAGGCGACGCCCGCGCAGCAGCGGCCACGCTGGTTACGGACCGCCTTCGTGACGAAACAAGTTTAACGCGGGGACAAGGCCTGTCCCTACACCCAGCCCAACTTCTCCGACCACATCCTCTATTTAACATGCTTAACTGAAAGCGACCAACCCTGCAGGGGCGTCTTGCGTACCTGACTTCTGCTAGGCGGGCCTCGAGCTCCTCGTCCTCCTCGAACCAGCCGCGAGAGTCGTTCTCCAGAACGGTCGCCCGCTCCAGGAGCTCTTCCTTGAGACCCACCTGCTTCACCTCATCTATCGTCAGCAGCCTCCCGCGCGTATTCTAAAATATGTATATATATATATATGAAGACCGGAAGAACCGAAAGACGGGGGCGTCAAGCGTGAGGGCGGGTGTTCAAAATGGGAGGGCGTACACGGAAAACAGCGTCACAATGTTCCCGATTAGCGGGTAGGTTGACCAGAAAAAAATAACGGGGGGGGGGGGG